GCAAGAAAATGCAAACAAATATTATTACAATTACTATTCATCCCCCAAATATTTAAGAAGGTTAACATGATAGGATGTGGGTTTGTTGAAGCTAAGCCTGAGAGGGTTTTATTCATTAAAACCAAGTGTACAGAGCTTTGGGATCTAAACTTTGATGAAATAGCTTAATAATTTCATTAAACACTTCCTAAATACGAGCCAATTACCAAGTAAACTCTGCAGCGCACCGTCTACTGGGAGGAAAGGAAGAAAAACTTTTTCAAACATACCCCCCCCCCCCAGCGGATGTGAGTTAATTTGTAAATGGAGAACTTCACCTAAAAGCATTTGAAGTAAAAATACACAAATATTTGAATTTTGCAAAAAGACTCCATGTGCGCCAGGATAACAAAAATGAGAGGGAAGCTCTTTTCCAAGTAGCATAGAATTTCTCCGTTAACCATCAGTTTGTGTCAGAAGTGTTGTTTCTACGTTGAAACAGCAGCATATCAATTAAGCTGATAAATGTGTTAATAAAAATTCTCCCTAGCCAAAAATCATACAAAACAATAGAAATTTATCTCCTTGTTTCTTTATAGACAACTTCTATTGATGCTTTCTGCACTGGGAAAGTGGAATCCAAGTGAGACACAAACTTGGATTTCGGAGCTACTGAACTATTTCCCTATCAAGCTGACATCACGGAATTAGTTGTATGATATAATCCCTTCCACACATGGGATTAAAAATTCAGGAGTTACAAAATTCCAGGGTAGGATATTTAGCTTTAAAATTGAGGGGGCATGCAAATACCTCACACTTTTTTTTTTCCACTTTGCACACTTTACCAGGCATTGTTTGTGCAGTACCAGCAAAGCCAGTAACACAGATTTCTAGGAATGTTGGGTGAAACTTGGAAAATGGCATCATATTGCCTGTTGTGCTGTTGTTTTAGAAAAAAAATTTATGTTTAGTCACCAACTCATCACACTAGCGTGACTGCACATGGGGGTGTCTGAAATAAAAAGACATAATATAACTTATAGTAAATATTAATGATTAATCTTTGCAACTCAGGATTTCAAACTCCATAGAAGTTGTTTACTCATCTATGAACATCTATATGTAAATTTTAATTTACATATTCAGCAGTATTTTAGTAAGACAGAGAAAAAACACAGGCAGATGAATTATCTTTGAGCACAGACGTTAGTTATTTCTTATGATGTAAAATTAACCCTGAAAAAGCCCTTTATTCTGGCAGAGGACGAACATGAGAAGCTTTATCTGAGAGTCTTTTTTTTTTTTTTAACATCATCTAAAGAGGTTAGACATGTCGAAGGTAATCTTTCAACCTGGCTCATAACACACACACACACACACACACACACACAATTTCATACCTTTAGAAGTTTTCTGCCGGTATGATTTATAGGCCAAATACACACTACGTGCTACAGACGGTTACCTTAAAAATTGTTGGTTAAGTTTCAAATACAGTCAACTTCTGGGGGCAAAACCATCACCTGCTTTTAACGCGACATAGAGTAGGCGTTGTGCAACCTTGCCTTAGAGCTATTAAAAACGCAAAAGCCTAACAAAAAATCAAAAATGAAATATTTATTACCGCATTTTGTGACTTAACACCTTTTTTTTTTAACATAACGTCACAGTCCTCATACAAGTATTTTAATGTAAATTTGACAAAGCTTAAAGGTAACAGCATTTTCTTCTAGTGAGGAACACGTGCTGAGAAAAGAATTCATGGACATACAATACCAATTCCACAGCAGATCTGATACTAGCAAAAACATTCTTTTTTTTTTTTTCAATTGAGGTAAACACATAGAATATCTAACATGAAACAATTAATAGACCGAACTCTGTACGAAGTTTGTTACAGTATTCTCTTGCTCCTTTTTATCCCCCAAGCTTTGAGTTTCTGATAAAGTCCTAGTGGTGGTGCTCTGACCATTAATAACTTTCTTGTGTTGAGGAAAAGCTGCCCAACG